ATTCCAGGTTAAATCACTAAGCCTAATTCAGTCTGTCTCCCTTTCATACTTTTTCCCATCAACATTTTTAAGGTTATATGACACTTTATGAACTTTTAGTTACTCATTCCAGTTGAACTCACAGTTTATAAATGTGTTGGTCCCACTACCACAAGAGTCTGATCCCATGCAAGGAGAGGGGAGAAGCCACTCCAAAAGAAAAAGCACTATGGAGGAGGCTTGACACATATTAGGGGAGAAGCCACATCTCTTGATTAGTAAGGAAATAAGTATCCTCTTTGTAATCTCTGTAATATGGCAAGCAAGATGGTTTTTAAAGTCTAAATTCCTGAAAAAATCTCTCATAAGACACTCTCAGGACTGTCAACATTTTAAGAGGAAACAGAAAACAAACAAAACAACAAATGACAGAGTTAAAACTTGCCAAAGTGTCTATGTTTCAGAAGCTGAACTTTAGTTGACTTTCAATGACATTAGGTACATGTGTTCATTGCTGAGTGAAGGTGTATTTCTAGCAGACAGGTGTCCATGCTAGCTTTAAGATAGCTAGCCCAGATAACACCACTACTAAAGACATGGTAGCACATCATGTACTCTGGTTCATCACCAATGAGCTCTTTAATTTTTCCCATGGGACACATAACAAAATTGTTATGTCTTGGTGCACATAACAAAATTCATGTGGCAGAGGTAGAGGCAAGGGGTGAAGAGTGAGGGAGGGTTAGAGTTCTGGATGAAGGTGCGGGGTCTGGGGTGAGGCTAGAGATGAGGGGTTTGGAGTATGTGAGGGGGCTCATGACTGGGGCAAAGGGTTGAGGTGTGGGATGGGGTGAGAGCTCTGGCGGGCAGTGCAGGCTCTTGGGTGGGGCCAGGATGAGGGGTTTGAGCTGCAGGCTGCCCCAGGGCTGTACTCCCTCAGCTCTCTCGCCATGCAGAAGCACTTGAGCTGGGGGAGAGGTGCCTTTCCCCACCATGGCAGGTCAGAGGCTTGGGCCAGGGGAGAAGTGCCTCAATCCACTACAGCCCTGAGAGCCTGCACAGGTTTTGATAGGCTGCTGTGTGGCTGCATAGCATTACCAGCCTGCACAGGCTGCTGTGTGGCTGCATAGCATTACAGCTTAGAGAGAACTTAGTGCATTTCCCAACTACAAGACCGCTGGACACTCCAGATACACGCTAAGGTTGCTAGCCCATGCTGATGACACATCTTCACTACTATTGCTAGCCATGCTATCTAGATTAAAGCTACCCTGGGTATACCTACCTGTGCTGCAATCATTAAAGTGAAGACATACCCTTAGAATGAAATCTAGCTCTATTGAAGTCAATGGCAAAACTCTCACTCACTCTTAAGTGACTTATGGCTTATCAACATTGCACATCAGAGTGATCTGTATAGACTCTGCCAACATTCTCTAAAAGGGACCTAGTGTATGTTGATATAGTCCTGTCTGAAGTTAAGTTAATACAAACTAAAGCACACTGGCAAGATCTACACTGGGCAATTAGAGCATAGCATGTTAGAGCACTATATCAATCAGGTATCTCAAGTGTGCTTTGCTGCACTGTATCATAGAATCATAGAATAATAGGACTGGAAGGGACCTCAAGAGGTCATCGAGTCCAGCCCCCCGCCCTCAAGGCAGGACCAAGCTCCGTCTACACCATCCCTGACAGATGTCTATCTAACCTGTTCTTAAATATCTCCAGAGAGGGAGATTCCACCACCTCCCTTGGCAATTTATTCCAATATTTGACCACCCTGACAGTTAGGAATTTTTTCCTAATGTCCAATCTAAACCTCCCCTGCTGCACTTTAAGCCCATTACTCCATGTCCTGTCCTCAGAAACCAAGAGGAACAAATTTTCACCTTCCTCCTTGTGACACCCTTTTAGATATTTGAAAACCACTATCATGTCCCCCCTTAATCTTCTTTTTTCCAAACTAAACAAGCCCAGTTCATGAAGCCTGGCTTCATAGGCTTCTCTAGACCTTTAATCATTCTTGTCACTCTTCTCTGTACCCTTTCCAATTTCTCCACATCTTTCTTGAAATGTGGCGCCCAGAACTGGACACAGTACTCCAGCTGAGGCCTAACTAGTGCAGAATAGAGCGGCAGAATGACTTCACGAGTTTTGCTTACAACACACCTGTTGATACAACCTAAAATCATATTTGCTTTTTTTGCAACAGCATCACACTGTTGACTCATATTCAACTTGTGGTCCACTATGACCCCTAGATCCCTTTCCGCCATGCTCCTTCCTAGACAGTCGCTTCCCATCTTGTATGTATGGAACTGATTGTTCCTTCCTAAGTGGAGCACTCTGCATTTCTCCTTATTAAACCTCATCCTGTTTACCTCCGACCATTTCTCTAACTTGCTAAGGTCATTTTGAATTATGTCCCTATCCTCCAAAGAAGTTGCAACCCCACCCAGTTTGGTATCATCTGCAAACTTAATAAGAGTACTCTCTATCCCAATATCTACATCATTGATGAAGATATTTTCATTTTTGGAAATTTCACTCTTCTACCTCCATTTGTGAGAATAAAGATATGTAACCCCCCTTTTTCCTCCCTGGATTACTCGGGAGCAGGTCACACTCACATATGTGCCTGGGTGCCTAGTGTTTTTAACATAAAAGGAGATCCTGAGTACCCCAGTGGTGATGTTTAGTTGGGGATTCCCCATCCATACCCTTGCTGCAGTCCTTTGCTCCTAAAGAATATACAATGGCGGTGCCTCCACCTGGATGGCCCTGTTTATGGTGTGCCTTGGGAGCCTCCAGGAATACAATTATTCCAGTAATAACCTGGAACTAACTCTAAGACAACAATTATAAATAAAATATATCTAATTGGTTAAATTAGAATTAACACACCTTTACTTAACTTAAAGAAACCAGGTTTAACAGATTAAAAGTAAACAAAATCAATTAAAAAGTACACAGAAAGAAAGGAAACGTATCCATCTAGTATTTACCCTGCCACCATTTATCTCACCCCGAGTGCGCACTCCTCTGGATTCAGAGTCCCAGACACTTGCTTGCATGGGTGCGCTTGAAGGTCTGCAGCTGGAGTGGAGACACACAGAACCTGCACAGTGCTGTCAGTCCAAGCTAAGCAGCCAGCTGCAAAATCCCTCTGCCACTGGAACAGGCCCTACCAAATGCCAGCAGCTCCTTGGGCAGCCACTTTGGCTCTCATTGCACCCAGAGTCAGTTTGTCTTTTGTGCTCCATCCCAGGCAGCACTTTTCGAAACAGCCAAGTTACTCACAGTCACCTCCTGTGTAGGTTTATGTAAGCTCTTCCCAGCCATAGGCACAGCCAGGATATCTCCCCTCCAGAGACAATCAACAGCAGCCGCCAAAGCAGTCTGCTAGATCCAAGCCCCAGCAGTAACAGCCTCAGGGTTCGTCTAGACTGCAAGCTTCTTTCGAAAGAAGCTTTTTCGGAAGAGATCTTCCAGCAAAATCTTCTTTCGAAAGAGAGCGTCCACACTTCAAAAACAGATCAAAAAAGCGATGAGCTTGTTTGAAAGAAAGCATCCACACTCACTTGATGCTCTGTCGCATAAAAGGCCACCTGGAACCACTTCTGTCAGGGCATTAGGTCAGCGGTTACTTCCGGGTGCTGTTGCCTAAGTCTATCTGAGATGTGTGCTTAAAGGGACCCCCCTGGACAGCCATTTCTCAGGTTCTGCTGCTTGCTTGCCTACCTCTCTGAGGGACAGCAAAACTTTTGTAGTGTGTGCTTTGGTTGCCCAGCTTTCTTGAATGCCACAGCATTTTTTTCTCTTTTTGCCATGGAGCTGGAGCTGCCCAAGGCAGGCGATGGCCCCACACTGTAATGATGCAGCTTCTGCAACACTTTCAACAGATCTTCATGACAGTCCTGCCCCAGCTCAATTCAGAGCTCAGCACTGAGAACCTCTGTTTGGATGTGGGAGCAATGCCCTTGCCCCCGTATCTCATGGTTGAGAGGCAATTTTGGAGGCTGGACACCAGTTCCGACTGGTGGGACCACCTGGTGATGGAGCGATGGGACGACCAGCAGTGGTTCCAAAAATTCCTCATGTGGAAGGCCACCTTCCTGGAGCTGTGTGCCTGGTTCGGCCCTGCCCTTCGATGACAGGACACCCACCTGAGGCCCGCCATCCCCCGGAGAAGAGGGTCACATTGCTGTATGGAAGCTCACCACCCCCAACAGCTACAGCTCAGCAGGACACCAGTTCGGCGTGGGGAAATCCACCATTGAGGTCATCTTTATGGAGGTAAGGCACTCTCAGGGGACAAGAGGGACCCTCGGGAAAGGGGAGGGGGAGTAGGGAGTGGAGTGGGAGTAGGGGCAAGGCCCGCCCTCGCACAGAACTGCTGCCGGGGGTGGCCTCATGGGGCGAGCTCCTAGGGTCTTTGGAGGACAGGGGAGGGAGGTGGGCACCTCCCAAGGGCTCAGTCACCCCCTCTCATTCTCTGTTTTGTGTGTTTCTATGTGTCCTTCTGCAGGTGGGGAAGGCCATCAATTCCGTCCTGCTGCCACCTCAGAGACCTGGACCCCATCTTGGCCGGATTTGCTGCCCTTGGATTCCCAAACTGTGAAGGAACGATCGATAGGACACACATCCCGATCTGCACACCACACCATAGAGCAACCCAATTTATTAACAGGAAGGGCTACTTCTCCATGGTGCTGCAGGCTCTAGTTGACTACTGGGGACAGTTTTCAGACATAGGGTGGTCGGGCAGGACACATGATGCATACATATTTAGGAACTCTAGCATTTACTGCAGGCTGAAACATTCTTCCCCCAGCAGGACTTTGCAGTTAGGGATGTGCAGATGCTGACTTGCATCGTGGATGACGTGGCCTATCCACTGATGCTGTGGCTCATGAAGCCCTACACTTGCCACCTACACCTGAGCAGGGAACAATTCAACGTGCACCTGAACCGGGTTCGCATGCAGGTGGTGATTCTCACTCGGCGTCATCACAAACCTTTTGGGCGACTGTTTGCTGCATGCCTCACAGGACTGCAATGTGCTGTCGCATGAGGTCATGGTGGATCTGCTATTGCTTGCGGCTTCCCCAGCTTCAGTCAGCTGGCTGGGCTGGCATGGCTCACCCTTCAGCAATGGCTGGTCCATCTGTGGAGGACAAGAGGGAGAGGCAGTAAGTCATTCCTGCAGACACTGTTCCTGTGGGCATGCCCTCTTCTGTGAGCAGCAAGCAGCTGTCCTTGGAACAGGGGATGGTGATGTCCCAAGAGCAGGAGCCCTGTGGTGCCCAGGGGACCATCCTGCCTGCTTCTTCCCTCTGGACAAGCAGGCCAGGGAAGTGTTCAGCCGCAGTGGGCTCCCATGTGCAGGAAAGGGGCCTGAAGAAGCCTGCACACACACACACTTGCACCTGGCAGCGCTGTCTGCGGGAGTGGGTGGTGCCTTGCACGTGCACGCATGGCCGTGTGCTATGTGCAACAGTCGTTGGTCTGCGTGGGGTCATGCGTGTGTCCTTGTGCTCAGTCTGCTTCTGGCAGTGCTTGGTGGGGGGAGGACGTCCCTCCCAGGGGTCAGACATGGGTGGGGCCTCTCCCTAGGCTGTGAGCAGCAGCCCATGTGTGATCCGGGACTGGCTCTGGAGACCACGTGTTGCACACTGCTGCTGCATGCTGTCCAGGACGAGCATGTTGAGTGATGATCACACCCCATCCCCTGGCTCTTGCCTCCTCCGCTCTGTGTGTGTGCCAGCCTGACAGCACACACCTGATGTTCCCTCCCTGGTGTCAGATGATGCCTGGGAAACGTCCAGGGCCTGGGGTACCTGCTCCATGCTGAGGGTGATGACACTGCCAGTGTCCTCCTCATCCTGCAGCTGCTGTTGGTCATCATCCTCCTCCTCCAGCTCTGGCTGGACGACCACAGGTGTCTCCAGCCCTGAGTCCACCAATAGGTGTGGGGACAGGGCTTGCCGACCACCCAGAATCTGGTGGAGCTCTGTGTAATAGGGGCAGGAGTGGGGTCCTGCCCCGGAGTGAGAGCTGCACTCCCTGGCCCATGCGTAGCCTTGCCACAGCTCCTTGACCTTGCTCCTCACTTGGCCGAGAGTGCGGGGGTGGTGTCCTCTCTGGGCAAGAGCCTTGGCCATCCAGCCATATATGTCTGTATTTCTGCGGCACGACTGGAGTTCCTGAAGGAACTCCTCCTCACCCCAGAGCTCCAGGAGGGCCCAGATCTCAGGCCCGGACCAGGATGGCACCCAGCGTTTGGTGCCCCTGGGTGGGTCCTGGGACCCCTGGGGCAGCTCCCTGGAAGGGTAAGGAGGGTCTTGGAGGGCTTGTGGCTGTGCCATGGCTGGTTCTTGCTGTGGCAGGGAAAGTCATGTGGTCAGGGTGCTGCTCTGAGGCCAGCTTCCTGACACAAGGCTTGCCCCAGGTGCCTGCAACTTTAAGAGGTGGCTGGAGACAGGAACTATAGAGCTGTGATTAGTGTGGATGGAGTGTCCACCAGGGCACCTGTGCTTTTTCCTGGAGGCCTGTTTTTTTGAAAGAACTGCCTCTTCTGTGTCCACATATGCCTTTTTCTGGAAAAGGTATTATTCCTCATAAATTGAGGTTTACAAATGTTGGAGAAACCCCTACATTCTTTCAATTTTCTTTCAAAAGAATGTGATTGCACTATGGACATAAGTGAAGTTTTTCTGAAAAAACCCTGTAGTCTAGACGCACCCTCAGTAACAGGCTCCAGCGGCAACACAACAGCTCCTGGCCTAGAAAAGGCTCCACACCAGCAGGTTGTATCCTCTCTTCAAAAATGGAACCGAGCCCAACTCTGTGTCTGCATAGCTTGGAAAAGGCACACTTCTCCCTTTTTCCCAAGGGCTCATGGGAATTGTAGTCTCTAGGGCTAGATTGCAGCACAAAGAATCCTCCCAGTAAAAGTCAGAGTCCCCTTTAATAAGGGGACTACAGATAGAAAGAGAAAGACATGAGATTTTCATCGACACAGGAGAAAGAAAATGCTATAAATCTGTTGTGTCAATGGTGTAGCATGCTATTGGGTATGCCTAGAGTTGTGAGTTTCTCTGCTTTAGCAACTGTATCATCTTCCTGCCACACCAGTATGTTTGCTTCACCTGCAAAATCCTCAAGGTTCTCCCTTGCCTTACAGGTAACAATATGACAACTCCAGCTCCCAATTCCTATCACTTTTCATTCACAGAAGGATATCATGGTTGCTGCTTTTTTCAAGAGTCAGATCATTACAACTTATTATCCGTATTTGGATAAATACACCCTTCCCTTCAAACACTGAGGATACGACTACACTATGAGCCTCTTGCAGAAGAGCAAATGCAAATAGAGCACTCATTTGTATATGTCACACTCTCATTTGCATTTCTTTTTCCTTTCTCTTTTGCGCAAGAGGTTTTTGTGCAAAAAAGCACTGTGTAGATGTCGCCTTTTTGCACAAAAATCTTCTTTTGCCAAGAACCGTTCTTCCCCAAAAATGAGGAAAGAATGGATCTTGCTCTAAAGGGGGGTTTTGCTAAAAAATGTGCCATCTCATCTCACATCGTAGTGTAGACGTAGCCACAGTTTCTCTACAGTAAAAATAAAACAAGGATTTTTTTTAAAAACAGAAGCTTAGGTTAAGTGATACCAAGTAGCAGGTTTCAAGGTGGTTTCTCTTATCCACAGTCTCCTTTCCAACTTTCACATGCCAGCCTGTGCAGAATCCATCACAGAGATGCACTTGCTTGATTCCTTTGTCTCCTAATGTGGAATCTATAAAGACTCTCTGTGCTTCTTATATTCCAATCTGATTGTTTTTCTTACAAGATAAGAATATATCCTGGATATTCCATCTAATGATTCTCTCTGGGATGTCTCTTGAGTTCAAGACCAGGAAAAACCCTTTCTGGATTAACTTAATGGCTTTGTTTTCTGCTAATATGTAAACTGAAGTAAATCCACATTCCTTTGTCTAGGATAGACCTGTTTATTACCTTTACTTAGTCTAGACTGTCTGGTCTTATATGTGTTCTAGTAAGATAATATAGACAGAATTCATAATTTCACATGTTAGCACATGCATGTTACAATGATATTAATAACCAGAGTGTTATTAGTTTTCAAATGAAACCTCACAAAACACATTTTGTACCAATATCTTTGCAGTAAAGTGTAGGGTATGAATAAGGGATGCTTACAGTCACTGTTGGCAAATCTTAACATTAATTAAGGACCTGTTTCAATGCCCACTGAAGTCCATGAAAAGGGACCTGCTGATTTCAACAAGTATGGAATCAGACTTTTATGGTGAAGTGGCACACTGTACCAGTATGTACTAGAAGAAATTCTGAGAAATAATAACACAGGGCATTCATTAAAAAGTAAGAGCTCTGCAATGATGCGCAATGAGGTGGACATTAAACTTGAAGGCTTGACTGAGTGAAATCAAGATTTAGTGGCTTTCAAAGTGACAGCTCTCGAGTAAGTTTCTGAAATATGAGGACCAGGTTGTTCTCTGCTTCAATATATTATAATTATTTTTTCCCACATATAGAGCATTTTGAAGTGTGGTTTGCTGGTAATTTAATTGTGCTTTATCTTGGGTCAAGTGATTATAAACTATTGTATAACCCATTTCAGATTTTTTTTAAGTGGAGTTACCAGTTTCATGGAGACATTAAGAATATAGAAAATACAGCTGAAAGAAATTTTTACCAGTTCATCCTCTCCTGGATTGTCACCTGTCCATTCTGAGAATCAAATTGCCAAAAAAAATACTTGGTATGACTTTGCAGTCAGTGGTAAAACTGTTAATCAGACATTGCATATGAACACTTGCCTACGTTATTGATGTGTTCACATCTGAAGATGCTGGAAAAATATTATTTTTCTAACAAAACAGAAAGATTAGTTTCTGGAACACAAATGTGACACCTTGGGAAGTCAAACACAAGTTCACAGTGTAGAGAAGTGGTTCATTTCACCTGGATAAAGCAGAACTTTGAAACACAGTAAGCAGAAAAGGAATAATTGGTATTAAAGCAAAGCACTTTCAACAACTTATTTCCAGAAACTGTATTTTGTCACTCAGTTAAAACAAAGCAATTATTGTTTTGCCCCATCTTTAAAATGGCCACATGATGTCTGTTCTCATTTTGTCATTCAGTTAAAACAAAGCAATTATTGTTTTGCCCCATCTTTAAAATGGCCACATGATGTCTTTGTCTAAAATGACTTCTTATGAATGTGCGAGATTACAAATCCCATTCTGAGGACCTTTTTGATTTTCACACTGAATATTAATCATATTTTGATGCTGCCCTATAATTAATCTTAGTGTAATTTTAAAGAATTCCTCTAGGATTCAAAGAAAAAAATGAGAAAAAAGCCTGATTCTGCTCCCAGTGAAGCAGTTACATGCAACTCTTAGACTTCAATAAAATCAGCAGGATCTTCCTGGTATCAATAGAGGTCAGTTTGTATATGAACAGAGCATGCTGTATAGAGATGGGTCCCAGAATGTGAGATACAGTATATAGTGAATGCATAAGTGTATATAAAGGAAGAGGTTCTCTGAGTAACTCTGGACATTGGGTACATTCTGGGCATACACACCCCTCTATGCTTGAGTCTTATCAGTGCAGCACAGCTTTCCTGGATGTATGAGTGACAAAATCTGAAGAAGACCTGAGTTTTGGGGAAGTGGAGAGGGAATTCCAACACCTTCTTTCATGGGTTCCTGGACCTTTTCCCTTAAGTTGATTAGCATATATATGTGTTAGTTACCATGGTATTCTTGTGGTTAAACATCTACTTATGTGCCTAACTTATGATATCTGAAGTTTGAATAAACAGATATCTTGTGCTTACCTGTCAGCAGTTTAGCAACACTTGCTTGTAGCACTGCTTATAGCATCTATCTTATAGCATCTTGTAATACAGTGTCATTGCTATCTTGTGACAGCTTCTGATCTAGGGTCACTTACTGTTAACTGCTCATGTCAAGACCTTAGTTTTTAGGTCTCAATTAGTTTAGCTAAACTATTGTCTTACAGGCCTGAGGACTGTAGGTCCCATATTACAACTTTAATGCATAATTAATAAAAACAGTAATTAATTTAATATCTATATCCTAAATATACCTGATATTTTTCATCCTCTGCTACACAGGATTGTTTAAAACTTTCACATATTTATCCATATGCTAAGCCCAACTTCAAAATACCTTGCAACAAACACTTTTGGCAATTACTATAATGAATGGGCTGCACAGTCCTGGTGACTCCTTTCTGGAATAGCAAAGCTGACCCATGGGAAAACTCTTTTCTTGGCACCCTTTTTTTGTTTGTTTTTAATGTAAGAGCAGCTCACACAAACATCAG